ACTGGAAGTCAAAATGTAATTTAGAAAAATTGAGCCACGTCAGCAACCACGTAACAGCCCAGTCAGCAGCTCTATCCAACCAGGACACACCTCGTGGCAGATACGTTGACACGGGAAGGCCACGTAGAATGGGCCACGGAGGCGATCCACGTGCGCGCGATCGGACGGCTGAGATCCGTTCCCGCGCTCACGGACGGCCCAGATCAAACACATGCGTCGATGGCCCAGATTGCAAGCGTGCGAATGGTCCAGATAGAATCACACACGGACAGCCCAGATCGCATCGCAATGGACGGTCCAGATTCATTTCTAATTTAATCGCGATCGGACGGTCCAGATTAAATCGTGATGGACAGCTCAGATTAAAAGGGGAAGGTTATAAATAATCTCACCACACCCAACTCCAAACCCTAGCCGCTAGAGCCCTCGCCGGAGAAGACAACCCAGCCACCGGAGGAACCAACCGCCGCCACCTGCCGCCGCACCGGAGCACTTTCCGGCTGCCAAACGAGGTAAATTTCTCCCCTTGGCTCGGTTTTTGATGTTGAACCCACGTGTGGCCAAATCGGAGCCAAACCACTGGCCAATTAGCTAGAAAACACCGCCGAAGCCCAGCGGCGCCGCCGCGGGTTTCTTCAGTTTTTGCCTCCGATGAGGCCATTTCCGATTCCCGTTTGATGTAATTTTTACACCACTGTGACCATCGTCATTTTCTCTACAGGTTGACAGGAGTAAAACACCAAATCGCGACTTGTGCTGGAGGAGTCGTCGCACCCGAGAGCTCTGTCGTTGGTAAGTCTTAGTTTTTTGAGTTTTTTCAGCCCGCCGAGGGCCTTACATGTGTTTTCTCGCAGAAACTAGTGCTAGTTTAGCTGAATTCGGCCGGAAACGGTCGAAAACAACCAATCCGAGGCAGATCGCCGCCGTGCTGGAAGTCTGAAATTGGCTGAATAGGCCCTGGGTCTGATTTGGAGTTTTTTGGGGACATGTACAGGTACCAGAAGTGTGTTTCAGCTTACAAAAAAATTCAGGGAATCTAGGGACTGCCCGTAGGTGAAGTGAGAACCCGATTTTAGACTCCAAAACAAGTAAGTATCTCTCACCCTATTTCCTATCACGGTATTAAAGTCTAATAAATGATAAAACAGTATTTTTATGAATTCATGGATATGTATAATTAATTAAGGTTGCTAATGGAGCTCGAATCTGATATGTTTTTGGTCAGTTCCTGTTTGATTTATTTTACAGTCTAAATACAGTGTAGTATCTAATTTGTTCATTTTGTGGCTTCGTATGCATGATTCACTGTTTAATTTATTATGGTTTAATTATTGTGAACCCGATGTTATGTTTGCCTTGTTTGGTGTTCGTTACTAGTTTACGTACTCATGTTTGATTGGGTAATTGAGACTAAGAACAAATAGG